CAGCGACATTGATAGTGATTGAAGGACAGCTGTTCACACTAGGCGAAGCTAGCTAAGCCGCGGCACGGCCTGGCCAGGTCTGGACTGGACTGGGCTGGGTAGGGAGAATGTCAAATTAGAATGCGAAACGTGTTGGCAGTGGGAATGTGTGGCTGCAGTGGCGGACAATGGCTGTGGCGGCACCTTTTGGACCTGTGATGGTTTGCCGGCAACACCTTTGGCTATGTGGCATGCAAAGCAGCAGTAACAGCAGCGACACTGCAACAACAACAGCAGCAGCAGCAGCAGCAGCAGAGTCCAGCAGCAACAGTCACAGTCAGAGAGCGAGGCGATGCGAGGCGAACGAAGGAAATGTTGCTGGAGTGCAAATTAATTGAAGCATCGCAGCAATGTCAACGACAGTGGCAACATCACGTGTTGCATGTTGCATTTTGGCGTAGGCAGAGAGTTTGGCTCTGGCTCTGGCTCTGGCACTGGCTCTTCCTCCGGCATCGCATTCTTATAATTATGTCATTTAATTAAGCAGAGACAGTTCTTGCTGCCACGACTAATTAAAACATCGCGCCAGCAACAGCAGCAGCAACATGCAACATCAACATCAAACATGTGCAACGCAATGCGCAACGCGGGCGGTGGAAAGCCTTATACCCATGCCCCATACCCCATACCCCATACCCCATCTTCATCTTCATTTTCATCTCCATAAATGAATGACCGGCCACTGTCAATGCATTCAACAACAATCACACAAACTGCGCTTCAACTTTGCCGCTTTGCATCGTACGATGTAGATGTACGGAGGAATGTTTCCTGGAATTTGGGTCATAATTAATGTGGCATGATTTGGCAGACGTTTTAATCAAACGCGAATTGAATGCTGCCCAGCGAAGCCACCCAAAGCCAAAAACACTAGATGGCAATAGAAGGCCCTCCGGCGGCAAGGGAAGCCTGCCCACGGCAAGGGAAATTTCATGGGCTTAGAGGCCACATCAATCATACGCAGCGGTGGCCCAGCTGTTCAATTGCAATACCATAACTCATTTTTATAGGCCATCCACTCAAAAGCACACACACACACACTCTCGAACAGCTCTCCGCAATTCGTTGAAAACTTGCGCACCGGGATTAAGATTTGCAGTCGAGATTCTGTCCCGAGGTTCAGGCACAAGGCAGCACAGGCAGCAGGCACGCTATGGTTATGACTCTGACTGTGACTCCTGCCCCATGCTCAGCCCCAGCCCCGTCCTGGCCTCGTGGTTGCAGTCGGTAAATTACAACAACTATTACACACACACATACACAGACAAGCAGCAATCCCCCCTCGGAGGGGACGTGCACTCTCCGTCCTGTGTGTGACTTGACTAGTAGTTGTATTCCTGTGTGCTTTTTGCGCTTTTGGCCGTGTTGTAATTTCTTGGAAATTTTTGTGCAGTTTTATGCCGGGCCACACGAAAATTTATGAGTGGCGAGCGCTTCAAGTGCAACACCTGGTAGCTGGTAGCTGGTAACTGGCCAGGAGCAGCAGTTGCCAGCTTGAATGTAGACCTAGCGCAGGAGTAGACGCTGAGAGTTAGAGAAGAAGTCTGGAGTGTGGAGCTGAAGCTGTAGTTCCAAGAGACTTTTTTGAATGGGCCCGCATCTCATTTGATATCCTTTTGTGACTCGCTGCCACTGTGCGTGACATTTGCGTTAAGTGCTGCCGTCCCCACACAGCCCGATTGTGGGAACATTCTGGCCAGCAAAAACTTTTCATTTTGGCCGATTCTGCTTGGCCGATAAGCCCAAAAAAAAAATAGTTGCTAACAACAAATGCACGACAGACCGAATATTGGACCCCGCCCTGGCCACTGGTCACTTCTACCATTCCAATTTATTAATGGCTATATCTATATCTATCTCTATCTTTCAGTTAGAGTGCAATGGCTACATGGTAGTGTGCTTTACTTCTCTTTCATTCTTGCAGTTTGAATTGCATTCGCTCGGAAAATACTCAAGCTAGAATGAGTATTCAAATGTTTGGCAATTAACAATGTATTTTATGCTCGAACTTTAACAGCCACAGCGCTGTCGACGAGGCTAACAGATTAAGGCTAACTAATTGGCCGTTCAAAAGGTTACAAGAGTGGGAAAATAAGCTGCATAAAGAGTGCATTTTGCAGGTGTATTCCCAAAGAAAACTGTGAGAGAAAAAGGGGTTCTTAGTAAATATAAAGTAGGAAAAAGAATATTTTTTTTCTTATGGTTATTTGTACCCATAAAATGTCAAGTTAATTTACCCTAATCAATATTTGTATTTATATTTAAAACTTGAGGATAACAAAATCCTTAAGTCTTAGGTATTTTTAGTGCCTGTCTAAATTTCCATCGAGGCGATAAATAAATTGCTTAAAATTGTATACTTAATTATATAATTCAATGCTCGAATACCCTAGAAACCTGCCCAAAGTGCCTCTCATGTCTAAGGCAAATAGCAAAAACAGAAAAAACAAAACACGACCAAAACACAAACACAAAACAGCAACAACAACAAAAAAATAAAACGTGGGACATATGTAGGAATATATATTTTTCATCGAAAATGTTTGAGAAAAAAAGGTAACAAAATTTTAGAAAATAACAAAAAAAAAACATACATACATACAATATACTGAAAAAGATGCAGATACAGGGACACACACACATACGCAGATACAGATACAGATGCAGTGAAACATACAAAAAGATACAAATACAGAGAGTCACGCGGCCGACAAAAGTTATTGCCAAAATGTTCGGCATGTTTGCTTTTGAAATTTAAATTTCACATTTGTTGTAGTCTGTTGTTGGTGTCTCGTACGGGGCTGTCGGCTCGTTGTTGACTTTTTATGACTTTGGCTAACATAAAAATCTCCGAGCAATTCCTAACCAGTATGTGTGTGTGTGTTTATGTGTGTGTGTTAGCCATTAAACTTCATTTGCTCAGCGGGCGTCTATATTTGTGGGGCGGGAAGAGAGCTCTAGTTGCTTAATTTGCCCACTAATGACAGCAACTAAAGTCAACCACTCATAATTGACAACTAAATTGGGATTTTGACAACTGGAAGCCCCCACCCAGACACCCAGCTCCTAAGCCCTCACGAGATGTGACATATGCAGACTAATGAATTTTAAAATCAACGCTCGCCACAGGTGCCCCAGTGCGCTGCGCTGCGGTGCGATGCTCGTTATGGATGCGAGTGCCACTGGCACAGCCACTGCCGATGCCCCAGAGTCCCCTCTCTCTTTTCGGACAGACAGACAAACTGTCTGTCAAATGTTGAACGAACAGTGCGCGGGATTTGAATCCGAGAAGTTTTGAGTGCATGAATGAATTACAGCGGTGAAGAAGGAGAGCTGGAATCAGTGGATGGAATGGAATGGAATCAAATCAAGCATCAATAAAGTCGGCATATGAATAACATGAATTAAACATAAATGCAAAAGGAATCGAGAGAGAGATGGAGAGAGGCAGAGCAGGGAATAGGAAAAGGAGCAGCAGCAGCAGCAGCCTCCAAAGCTGATTGATCACTTTGCAGTTTGCAGCCTCTCTTTGGCAGTGATCTTTCCTTTCTTTCCCCTTCCCTCCGCCCGCTGCTGCTGCACACATTCCTGATATACAGAAATTTTAAATTAAAATTTTGCACACTCAAAGAGCAGGAAATAAATTCAGCGACCGACCGAGCATTGATGCATGTCACGTTTGGGTGTTCGTTGCGTTTTACGTGGAACTGTCAAAATGCAAACCAAACCACACCAAAGCTCAGACCCCAAAGCGAAAAGCCAAACCCCAGCAGAGTCAGAGGCAGTGCCAGGCCAAAAAAAAAAAAAAAACTGCAGCCAGAAGCAGCAACAACAATGGGGCCTTGCAATGCTAAGTGCCAAGTGAAAATGGTTTGGGCCATCAGCTGTCAAAACTGACAGCAGAGTCACAGTCTGCCTTTGGCCCAGAGCCACTCTTGGATACAGCAGCAGCAAGCAGCAAGCAGCAGTGCGGTGGCTCCTCAAATTGAAAATTAACTTAGCGGAACTGGAAATTTTTTGGAGGCGTGTGAACCACACATACACCCAGCAGACAAAAACAGAAAAACGTAGCGACAGAAAACTGAAAATAATGTCGTCTGCCATTTGCTCTGTTTTGGTGTTTCAGTGTTTCGGTGGAGGCCGGGCCGCCCTCGCGCACCGCACTAATGAGCCCAGATCATTTTCTCTCTGGCCCAGACAGTAGTCCAACGAACAAATTTCAGGCAATTAGGAAAAACTGTACAGCCAACAAATTTCCATTTTCACGAGACGATATTCTCAGATGGGGCAAGGAAGGGAAAACAACCCAAAAAAAAGACGAGTAGAAGGTTGTAATAGAGCCATAGAGACATGATGAGGGGAAATTATGGAAGAAACTTAAACTTTCGTTTGGGTTTTATGTGCAGAAATTTACAGAGCACATATAAATGGTTGTGGTGTGTTTTTTTTTCTAATGGGAAACACACGATTAATCGTACTTCATTCTCGTGCTTGAAATTCCCTGTTTTTTCAACTAAACATTGACCAATTGCTATCTGCAAACTTTAATTCAATGCTTTGGGGTATATCTAGGATACAATCTGGCTACAAGTACTCGTATCGAGACCCCCAGCGATTTCTGTGGGCCCCTCCCCCTCATTATTTATGGCGGCCAACCGGAAACGTTCACTCAGCAACACAAAAAAGGCGCGAAGCAATCGATTTGTGGGCGTTGGGCGGTTACAGGCGGGAACGGACCCATCAGACCCATCAGACCCACCACCAACTATCCACCCTCCCCGCAAAATACATTCATTAAAAACGCATTAGAAATGACATTAGAACAAATGTCCGAGGCACAAACAACAGCGACGAAAAAAAAAAAGATGGAAGAAATTACTATTAAATAAAACATAAATCCAATCGCGGTGGAACCTTTCCCCCACCAACCCCAAATTCCCTGCCCCCGAATGGGTACTTACTGTGCTGATGATAGCTCGGATAGTACCGCCGATGGTGTCCATTGCTCTCCAGCGCATAGAACGCACTCATATCGCTGGTATCCAGGCCGAGGCCGGAGCCTCCGCCCGCGCCGCCACCGAGGGCCGCTCCAACGCTGCTGCCCGCCGAGGAGGCGCCGCTGGACAGGCTGTGATGGCTATGGGCCAGGCTGCTGCCGGCGCTGCCCAGGCCGTTGGTGTGTGGGCGACGCCATTGCTGCCGGATCCGGAGCCGCCGCCGCCGCCGCCTAAGCGCGGACTGTCGTACCAGCTGCGCGCGGCAGCCTCCGCTGTTGAGGTCATATCCATTTCGAGTATAATCTTGAAAGCTTTTCTGTGCTACTGGGGGGCGTATAGGTTTCTGCTCTCTCTCCACTCTCCTTTCCTCTAGCTGTGGGATGGATGGGTGGGTCTGTGTGTTTGTGTGTGTGTTGCAGTGGCAAGTAGCGCTGGCTTCTCAGCAACCACACATTTTCCTGTTCACGCGCCTAACCACACAAAAACGCGCTGCAATTTCAGAAATGTTTTGTACTTTAGAAACTGAAATTTTGTGACTTTCCTTTCGAGGTGTCTGCGTTTGATAAGATTTTAACGGTAGCCGGCGTTATCAAGATGCCCCCAACACTCTGCACTCTCCTTATCAGGAACCGAACGCACTTCAACGCTTTACATTTTTGTTTTTGTTTTGTTCAATTGTTTTTTTTTTATAGCTACTTTATGGGTACAGTTGCGGTGGCAGTTTTGTGCTAGGATAACCCACCGCAGGTTGATTTACGGCTGCTCTATAGATCTACAGAGTGTGGTGCGGCTTTAGCCGCCACCGCATTTTGCTTGGCAGGAAAATGCGAGTATATTTTGGCAGTTGCAATTGCAATTGCAGTTGCAGCCCTCCCATTGATTGATGATCTTCACTGCATCCCAGGGGATCTAATAAACATGTCCCTGGCACAACATTCTGGGATTGTCTTTCTCTGCAGTCACAATGTTTACACTGTCATAAAGCCGAGACAATTGTGCCTGGCAGACAAAAGGATGTGCATGTACCCGTATCCGTGGGATGTCAAAGACGGCGCCTGGAATTGTGCGTGGGAGTACGGACACACAAGGCAGGTGTGTGCGCGAATGGTTGTATGTGTTTGTGTGTGGGCCCAATTAGAGCTTCATCTGTGGTTTATCTTCTAGTATTCTTCTTGAATTAGTACGGGCATCTGTATGCTATGTGCCCCCCTCCCACTCCCTACCATTGCTATCAGAGACTATCAGACAATCAGAGAATCAGACAGACAAGTTCTATTGATTTAGACAGGTAGCTCCAGAGGTGCGACAACATTTTTGGGGGAAATTTTTCGGGGTCTTATCAGCCATAGATAGTACGAGGAGTACGTCTGTTTGTGTGTGTGTGTGTGTGTGTGTGTGCACTGCACTCGTTGATTTCTTTTTTAAAAAAAAAGATTATTATCAACAGGAGTTGTGCTATTTGCTTTCTTTGTTTGCTTTGGCTTCGAAAAATTAATAATACAACCCATGGGTTGGACCCGACTTCTTCTATCTTTAAGGTACGTATTCCAGATGCCTATCGCTCGATTGACAATTGCGCTACAGAAATATGATAAGGCAACATAATTTGTTACCTCAACGCAGGGCCCCTGCACACCTCCCTACACATACTCTCTCTTTCTCTCTCTGGGGAGGCAGAAAGACAAACAGGTCTCTCCTCTCCTCCTGCTACTATCCAACAATTTTTGATTTGCTTTCTGCGTGGCAGCGTTGAAACTCAATCAATTTATCTATCTATCAGCAGAAGCAGCAGCAACAGCAACAGCAGCAGCACCAGCGATACGGGGAAAAAGAAGCAAACACTTTTCATTAAATGTCTTCAAAAATATTTGATTGTTGTTGCTGCCGTGTTGCTGGTTGGTGTTTGTGTTTTTTGTTGGTTAGTTGATAGCAATAAATTGATAAGCCCAGTTGCCAGATTTTTCTATGCCTGTGTCAGAGCCAGTATTTCGGGCAATGGGTCCCTTGTGGCACTAATGATTGCTCGATAAGGCGCTGCGCTGAACCGTTAAAATCTCATCAATTGTTGCGGAAACTTTTGTTGTTTTTATTTTTGGTTTTTGATAGGTGTATTTTGGGTTTTTCCATCATTTGAATCTTACATTTTAGCACATTTATTAGTCACACTTTTAAGGGCGTTTTGATTTGTTTCTCTGTTTTGGGAGGGCTCTTTTAGGTATATCTCCGTTGTGGGGATCTCTTTGATTTGTATCTCTGTTTTGTTTTGCTTTGCTATTTGCTATTTGCTTTAACACTTTCTTGGCCCTGGCTCAAATGGGGGTGTATGTTGTATTTGCCGACGCGTTTTGAGCTTTCTTCTGGGCTTTGCTTTTGTTTCTTGGTTAGTTTCCACGAAAAACACCGCCGCCGACGTAAAACCAACGCGAACGGGGAAACGGTACGGTAAACGGAACGGCGAAGCGAACGGGGCGAACGAGACAGGCAACAAACGGCGAACACGATAGCGCTTCAGTTATATTTGCTGTGCTGTGGGTTGCATCGAACACGTCAACGGTCGTCGTCCAACTGAACAGGCACGAGCGCGAAACAGGAAAGACAAGCGCGTTCGCGTTCAGCCACTCACACAGACGCACACACACACACACTCTCGCTCGTTGTATCTGAGGGAGAAACAACTCGTCTGACGAGGGCCGGACTTCGGTGCGTGTATGTCGGTGTGTGTGTGCGCGCGCGTTTGGCACATACAAGATGGTCGCACCGTCAAGCAGTGCTGTGTGCGGAGCAAGCAGGATGGCTATACCGGAGCCGACTCGGCAATATGCTTGTCACTCTTTCGCTTGGTGAGCGGGGCGTGTTTTTTTGGCCCCGTGTGTGAGAGCAGCCAGCAGGTAACCGGTTCGGTTCGGCTCGTTTCGGGCTGCAGTTGCATGTCCGTTGGTTTGTTTGTTTGTGCAGCCAGAAGCTCAGCTCCATGATGTTGTTCGTGTGTTGTTGTTGTTGCTGCTGTTCGTCATGCTCGAGTGCATCGTTCAATAATCTCTTTGCGGCACGCCTCTCTGCACTTGGCATGGTGCCTCGGCTGCGTTTTGGTTGTCTGTTCGACGACGCTCTGCCTGCTCCTGCTCTGTAGTTGCCACACCACACCACAGCACACACACACACACTCTCTGCTCCTCTCCTTCTTCTGCCCAGTGCTATTCGGTTGTGCGGCTGCTCTGCTGCTGCCTTTGCCCGGCTGTCAAACAGTGACAACAATCATCGATCGTTCCGTTTGTGATTATGTGGTTTATTTATGGGCTTTAACATGTGTGCAGATTTGTCTGACGATTTTTGAGTTATATGCCACTGTCTCTCTCTCTCTCCCTCTCTCTTTTTGAGAGCGAGACAGGCATACACAGAGAGTAGTGAGAGAGATGTAGAGTGAGATAGCTGGCACATAAAACGAAATTTGCATAAATTAGCAGCTGGAAATTAAGCAAACTACAGAATTATACCCATGCTTATTTGTATGCTTCCCCCAGCACAACCCCCCTCGGCAACCTTCACCTCCATCCAGCAGCAGCATCTTTTTGCTGGCGAAAACAAAACAAAACACTCAAACTCGAAAGATAGTTTCCGCGTATCTAGATACAAATTATTAATATTGAGCTCGTTTATTTTGCTGGCAAGTTGGCTCCTCCGGGCTGCTTTGCTGGTACATGGTACATCTGCTGCGCATAAACAGCTCACACACACACACACACATACACATATTATGGAGGTGAAAACTGGCGGTTCTAAAGTTTCGATCCTTCCTTTGAATTGGGTACGGAAAATTTTACTGAAATTTTATTTTCATTTTTAACTTAATGTCTGTAAATTTCCTAATATTAATTTAATGATTTGTTTTTGACCTGTACAATTCACGATGATTTGCAGTTTTTTTTTCCAAGTGTACGTGAGAAACTTTTTGTTGGTTTCTTTTGTGGTTCATTGCATTGATTTTGGCTGCAAAGCAGAAAACTTTTCGGCGCAAAAGGGTTAAGTGCTGCCGATGCACCTGTAAAGTGGCACAAGGATGCTGGCTTCTTGGTGTGGCAGGGTTGATGTGGAGGGGGAACAGGTACAGGAAGACAGCTGCAAGCTGAAAACTTTCCCAGGCTGACTCAAGTTTACAGGAATATTTTTGAATGTATTTTTGGGCTTAAGATCTTTTTTTTTTGAAGGCACTTCATAAGTTCATATGCGCTTGTAGCTGAGAGATACGTATCTAACGAGAACTGCCTGGGCTTTATGGCCAAAATGAAGCGTTTGTCAAAGCCTCTGTGGCGACTATCTAAGCAGCAGCAGAAGTTTATGTATGTAAATACTCACAGGCGCCGCAGATAGAGCGCTCGATAGTTACAGATACATATTTGGAGATAAAGATACACACCAAAAAAGTGGCTGCCAAAAAAAAATAAAGAAAAAAAAAACCTGTAACCAAAATCAGATCAACACACAAACGGTGCGAACAACAAACACGAGCGACGAATCACAACAGCAACAACTAGAAACAACAAACAACCAACAAACCAACAACAGCCACAAACACTGTTGAGTGGTGTCGGTGTCGGTGTCAGGCAGAAACAACGTAAACAAGAGCTCGAAACAATCTGCCAGCAAAGATCTACAAAAGGATTCCCAGAGAGTAAGCCATCGCAGATCTTCGATGGCATGGAAATAAGGCATCTGTTCCATCGCTGTCCACAGATTAGATAAACGCCTGCACTACCCATACTATACATATCATCAGAGATCTGGCAAAACACTCTCCCCCCGCCAGGCCATAAAAATCGCAATGGGTTGTAAGCCAGCGATAAGATTGGGCCAGTCAGGTCTACGCAGTAAGCATAAGATTGGGCCTAGTCATGTCTACTTAGGGGTATCAGAATTGATGAATTGTCACGTCTTTGTGTCAAGCACTAAACACTTGGCTGATAGCCACACGTCATCTTCAATTGGTCTAGGAAGTTGTAGCAGCCCCGAAATACATTCTCACAGATAGCAGACTAAAATGGGACTGGTATGCCATATAATGTACATATGTACCAAAGAGTTATGTACATATATATAATCCCAATATATATAACCATATAATATATGGTTTTCTACTATATACAATTTATTGGCTGGTCTTAATGGATCAGACTGTTGCCAGTGAAATGTGAATGAATAAATGAGTATAAATAATAAGTGGATTGGTATTTCCCCAACCGAAACCGATAAGGAAATGTGTGCCACCGCAAGATATCTGAATGTTTAATTGAATTTCGTATGAGTTTTTACCTATCTTGCAAATAAGGATTCGAATCGAATGAGGATTCCTTATAATTGTGAAATTAAAGCTAAAGTTAAATTTTGAGTGAAAGCTATCCAGCAAGACGGTATCATTATTTTCATTTCATTCTTTAAAGTAACCTAAAATCTTTTTGGCAAGTCAGAACTTTATTTCGGATTATTTGCCAACTTTCTTTTGAGCTTGGGGGCCCATTATCTGAGCACCTGAGCACCCCCTCCCTCCCCGTACCTTCCCGTTCAGCACCCATGCAC